ATACCTCGCTATAATTAAACATAATCTGTCTTCCTCAGTTTATATATTATTCATTTCCTTCTATCTGCATCTAGGATATTTGTGTATAAATTTATTTTAAGAATGTATTGTACTAAATAAAATTTTTGGCCTTGAGTTTTTATACTAATTTATTATCTACATCTTTACATAAAATTCAATATATACCCATTTTTTAGTGTCTCTATAATATTATAAATTGAAGCATTGAAAACTGTATCCAAATAACATATATAAGCTTACCCAAACTGTACATAATTATGTCTTATACCATAGCACCCCTTAATATTTCATTAAAACTAGAAGCCCGATGCAAGAGATTCGTGCAAGAGTAGGCCTTCCTTGCCCCAGCTGCCAGCACCGGCTTCCCTCTGGCACCCGGGACCCAGGCTTCCCTCCGGCTGCCGGCAGGCACCTGGGACCCGGGCTTCCCTTGCAGCCCTGTCTTTGTCTGGAAGGATGTCCAGTCTAATTAGCATATTATGCTTTTATTATTACAGATATCACTTCCAGAGAAATCTTAGAAAAGTACTTTGGTCAAAAGAACAAATGAGGTGCAATAACCCCAGAATATATTTAAAATATAGTACATTTTAAAATATAGTACATTTTAGGCCCTAGCCAGTTTGGCTCAGTGAATAGAGTGTCAGACTGAAGGGTCCTGGGTTTGATTCCAGTCAAAGGCATGTACCTCAGTTGCAGGCTCCTCCCTGACCTGGGCCAAGGTCAGGGCTTGTGCAGGAGGCAAACAATTGATGTGTTTCTCTTACATCGATATTTCTTTCTGTCTTTCCCTCTCTCTTTCACTCTCTCTAAAAATCATTGGAAAAATATCCTCGAGTGAGAATTAAAAAATAAAATAGAGTACATTTTATTTTATTATTATATATATATTTTTGGTACCAAATTACTTTATTTGAAAGAATGGTACAAATGAAAGACATGAGTGGATGATTTGGTACAAGTTATGGAAAAGGTAAAGTAACTCCAACATACACATATTGCTTTGGTGACCAGGGAAGTCACCCCCGTGGCTGTGGGAAGCAGCCAAGGCTTAGCTCTCATCACTATCTCCCAGGTATGCTTGTCAAAGAGATACTCTGCCATGTCAGTTTCAGGGGCCCCAACCTGCACAAGTTGGTTACCTGGTCACCCAATTCTTTGATGGATTTCACCTGCTCATTCAGGTAGTGAGTCTCAATGAAGTCACACAATTGAGGGTCATTTTTGTCAGTGGTCAATTTGTGCAAGTCCAGTAGTGACTGATTCACATTTTGTAATACACACTCCATTGCATTCAACCCATTCTCCCTGTTGTCACGGTCAGGTTTTTTGATGTTCTAAAGGAAGATTCAGCCACCTCGTTGGTTCTGCAAAAAATAGAGAGAAATTTATTAAACTAACTTGCCAACTTTTAGCAGAGAGCTTTACAGCTTTGCATAAAAACATAGTGACTGGCCTCTAGGAACATACAATTTAATTATATACTAAATATATAACTATGGGGAACTATATTATGAGACTGGATGTGTTTGATATCATAAATCTGATAAAAAATGTTTTTGTGGGTTGGATTGAACTAAACTATTAAAAGAGTTCAGAGGAAAATATAATCACTTCTGACCATGGTGATTTGGAAAAATTTAAAAAATCCTAGTCATTCTTTTATTTCTTCCACATTATTATCTTCAGGATTATAATTAGTATTAACATTTTTTCTAGTTTGTGGGGATTCATTTATAAAGTATAATCAATGTTTTATATAAGAGGAACTGTTATATATCATCCTAGGTTCTTTTATCAGCAAAGGCAGGTACACATAAAGTGGTAGAATATAGTTTCTTTTGTAAAATATTCACTGTCTGCATGTTCTTATTTTTAAGTGGCTTGCTTTTTATATTCTCTTTTTCCAGTTAAATCAGTTTACATATTTAAAATCCAAATAATTTTTTTCTGGCTTGATTTTCAGATTGAACTCATTTGCCAGCAAAATAATATAATAGTATTGGAAGATACAATAAAAAGACTTAAATCTGTAAGTACATTTTTCTTAAAAAATATATTCAGGAATAATTTTTATTCTGTTAGCATAATAAAACTACAAAAATTGTACATATGTTCTGACTCTCATGATTTTGTGAACAATCAAAAATGTTTGTGTTCTACAGTCAGCCCTCTGCTTGGTGCACAGGGTACTCCCATGTGTAAGAGCAATGCTGTTCTTGCTCCATTTCATCGTTACTCCTTGCTCTCCTAGAGTTGGAGAGAACTTTTGGTTAATTTTATGAATGCCCTTTGCTGTTAATTGATTTAAAATGATAACTGTAAGTAATTTAATTCTCAACATGTAAGATACATTTGTCTACATATTTACTTTAATTCTTCTTAGTAAGAAATATCTGTAAGTCAAATTTTGTTGTTTAATTCTAATATGTCTTTTAATTTAACAATGTGAAATAAAAACAGCTCTGTTTAGACATGTTAATGTTACTATTTAAAATAATTTGGAAGACCTTCTCTTTAAGTATATTTGTCATTTCCTCCCAATATAGCATTGGTAAAATAAATGTTGTAAAAGAAATGTTTCTAAATATGCTAAAGCAAATGGGAATGCACTTTAAAGGTCTTATAAGTATAGAATATCCATCATTCCTTTAATTTATTCATTCCTTGGACAGTTATTGAACAAAACTATACAATTTTTCTAAGCAAATTAATTTTATTGATTTATAACTACATCTTTGGATATTTCTGGCCTCTCTGAAATTTCTTTACCTTATTTCCTTCAAAATTATTGGGTAAATGTAGGGGTACTTTTAGTTAAATAAAAATGTAGAACATTCAGAAATGCTGGAAAGGAATGATATCTAACTGCTTTTTTAAGTATGATTTTTAAAAGTTATTTTTAAAATACCACATTTATTATTTTTAAGGATCCTGTGTGTGTTCAACTTCATGTAGAAAATGATGCTGTAGTTTAGCTTGAAATAATGGCCTATTTTTTTTCTCCCTGGCAAGATAATTTTAGAGACTGAAAAAGCACAAAATAAATCTCCTTCCAGACTCGATTCCTTTATCAAGACCTTAGAAGCAGACAAAGATCACTATAAGAGTGAAGCTCAGAACCTGAGAAAAATGATCAGAAATAGTTCTAAAAGTCCAAGACGCCTGTCCCCATCTTCCCGGGTAAGTGTTGGAAAGTGAGAAATATTTTGGAGTTTGTTGCTCAAACACTGACTTTTATTCTTTGATTTACCTAATCTGGTTGATTGACATGAATTGGTATATCAAAGAGGTTGGGGGACAGAGGTCTCTTTTTTGGACAGTGGACCACTGAAATTGGTTCTTTAGCCTCAGCATTAGTCCTGGTTGGGAGGTAATCAGACAAATGTAGAACAATTTTGGAGGAAGCTGTTTAAAAACGAGGTGATTTTTAAAATTTATTTTCATAATTTCCTTTCATTATATCATCACGGTTGCTTAAGTAGAGACTATGAACGGCCATCATGCAGAGAAGAGCTTCACATTTCTTATCCAATAATTGTAGGCTACACACTGTGATGTAGAGCTTTTGAAGACCACACGAGACCGTGAAGAACTTAAGTGCATGCTGGAAAAATATGAGCGTCATTTGGCAGAAATTCAGGGTAATGTCAAGGTTCTTACATCTGAGAGAGACAAGACCTTTCTTCTTTATGAACAGGTAAACTTGCTTATAACAAAACATGTAAGTAATAACAGTTAACTCGACAGATATGTAATTCTTTAGGTATGCTTAAATCTGCCAATCAAATTAATTTAACTACCAGTTAGGAATTACCTTTGTCCTTAAGATATTTTTAATGAAATATAATATATTTCCCATACAGTATTTGTGTACACACACATGTATGTTAACCCCATACCCGTACAAGGTCATATAAATGCACAGAAATAGTCTTTTTTGTGTTTTTTTTAAATAAGAAATGAGGAAAATGTTCAATGGGAGGATTGAGTTCAAGGTAAAAATATTTGAATTTGGAGATTAAAAATAGTAACATATCATTTTGATGTATTATCACTTTAGAAACTTCCATAGAATTTGTTTAATTTCAGAGAGTAAAATCAGTTTATAGTTTATCTCTATTTTTTGCTTAAAATTAATAGCTTTATAACCAAATAGTTTCTCTATTCCACAAATATTGAACCCCATACATTACCAACATAATTTATTTTAAAAATATTAAATTTAATTAAGAATTACAGCAACTTTATGCTACTCTAAGAGAAAAAAATGATAAGATAGAGACACTGTTAGTTTGGTTTTTTGAAGTTCACCTTAGTGGGTTTTATTATAATTTGAAGTGAAACTTTATCATCTGTTTTTAAATAACTACAGTGACTTTGTATACCATGATTATGTGGCCTGTTTGTTTTATTTTATATATGGCAAGGCAGGACTAATTAGGTTAACTGCTTTGCCCAAGAATAGCAGGAATCAGTCCAGATTTTCTGACTCCTATTTGGGCCTGCTCTTTTTCATTTAATTAAGATTCTTATAGATGAATTGGCTGAGGGGGAAATAGATGTATCTGGACATATATCTTAATATCCTAAATAATAAAAGAGAAACATGAAGATTAGCCATCCCTCCGCTACACTCAAGCTATGCCCACCAGCCACGCCCACCAGCCAATTTGAGTGACTATGCAAATTATCCAACAAAGATGGCGGTTAATTTGCATACGCAGGTGTCAAGCACCCCAGGAGGCAAAGGCGGCTGTGGCTGCTCCTGGGACTTTTGCTGGCCCCAGGAGGCGAAGCCGTAGCCACGCCCACAGGGTCCCGGGACTTTTGCAGGTTGGGGAGGCTGGGCCACCCGCTCCTAGCCACGCCTGCGGACTCCTGGGACCTTACTGGCGGAGAGCGGGAGGTTTGGAGGACTTGGCAGAGCAGGAGACCACTGGACATAGAGCAGAGCGAGAGAGAGGGCGGCTTGGAGGGCTCGGCTCCCTCTGTCACCCCAGCTTCCTCATCACAGCTGTGAAAACTGACAGCAGGGAGGAGGAAGTCCCACCCTCACAGAATCAGCCAGAATCAGCCATTGGTCAGACAGCTCTCAGCGGCCTGATAGCCAGGACTCTCATTCACCTGCATCTCAGACCATGACAGTAGGGAGGTGGGACTATGTCTAAAGAACAACTGTTGATACAACATAGCTCTGCAGCTGAAAGATGCCGGCGTTATCGACAAAAAGTGTCTGTGGAGCGGCGGGCATCTGATCTTGAAAGAAGGCGGTGCCTGCGACAGGATGTATCTGAAGAGCAGCTACTGGAAAAACGTCGCTCTGATGCTGAAAAACACCGGTGTTATCGACAGAAAATGTCTAAAGACCAATGTGCCCTTGAAGTTGAAAGAAGGCGGTGGCGACGACAGAATATGTCGAGAGAACAGTCATCTATAAGTACTACCAATACTGGTAGGAACTGCTTCTCAGCGAAAATGGAGTACATGAGGATGCAATTCTCAAACATAGTTGTGGTGGAATGACTGTTCGATGTGAATTTTGCCTATCACTAAATTTCTCTGATGAAAAACCATCCGATGGGAAATTTACTCCATGTTGTAGCC